TTTGCCGTTTTCCAGCTCCTGTCATTTCATTTTGATTGTAAAATGAGGTTTAAAGGGGTATTAAATGAGGTAACATGTAAAATAGGTGACAGTACAAAACAAAGCAGGCATTCAATGTTAGCTCTCATTTCCTCAACTCAGAGCAAATCCACCAGGGGTAAAAGTCTGAGTTTACCTGCATAGATTCATTCAACAAATAATCTCCTTTGATTTATTTTTAAATTATCCTAATCCTTTAAAGGACCAGCTCTAAATTATCTATCCAATTTAAGCATTCCCCTTGTAGCTTAAGAACCTGTATTCTCATTTTTGTGGGAAAACCTCTATAGTTTACCTGTAGTTTACCTGCCACCACTATTACACAGGGAACCTATTGAGGACAAAGACCATGTCACATTCACATTCATAGACCAATAACAAGTGCCTATTGAGTAATGTATAGATAAACATCATGCTTTAGGCTTAGTTTTCATGACATTGATCCTTCCTTATTTTATTTTTGTCTTATTTTTACTAACAACCCAAACATGGAAACCAAGGTTTATACATGAATATAAGGCAAAATGAAATAAATGCCACTTTTAAGATTATTTCATGGCCGGGCACGGTGGCTCACACCTGTAATCCCAGCACTTGTGGAATGCTGAGACAGGCAGATCACATGAAGTAAGAGTTTGAGACCAGCCTGGCCAACAATGGCAAAAGTCTGTCTCTACTAAAAATGCAAAAAAATTAGCCGGGTGTGGTGGCAGGCACCTGTAATCCCTGTTACTTGGGAGGCTGATGAAGAATCACTTGAACCTGGAAGGTGGAGGTTGCAGTGAGCAGAGATCATGCTGCTGCACTCCAGCCTGGGCAACAGAGTGAGATTCCATCTCAAAAAGTATAAAAAATAAATAAAATAAAATAATTTATCTATTTTATCTATTACTCATATAATGAAACCTTACTGTTGATGAAGAGACAGTAGATTGGCCATGTCTGCGTTATTGGATCATAATATTAAAGCTGGAGGAGACTGTAGTTAACACCTAGCCTGTATTTCTTGTCTTGTAGAAAATGGAGGTACATGGAAGTTAAAAGGACTTGGTCAGAACCAATGAGCTAATTTACTAAACTAGAGCTAAAACTAGAACTTGGGCTTTCTAATTCCCAGGCCAGCGTTTGTTCAACTACATGGGCCATTTAAAATCATTAGAGCTACGCTCTCCTAGAAGAAAATTAGTTCATCTCCCTCAGAAAGTTCTAAAAGTCCAACTCTTCCCTAAGGGGTTATTTTGCTTACACAGGCTTCTGTTAGAGAAAACACCTAAGTAATAACCTACATGTTGATGTTGTGGTTTTATTTCCATGTACTAGGAATGGTCTCAACAAATTCTTCGTTGTCCTAATTAACTATTTTCAAAAAGAATGGGCTAAAATAACTGCTCTAAAATTAAAACTGTATTTTTTGAGATGGCATCCAGAATGTAGTTAGTTCATTGCCAACAATTCCATAAAAGTGTAATCATTGTGTTACATAAAGGTGTATTTTGCAATTTCCAAATGATAAGCTTTCCAGACAGATAATGTTCCTCAAAGTCATGCCACAATGTAGAAGTTTTTCTGTGCCTACGATAAAGGGTATTTTTTGCTTTGAAATACTTCCAGACCAAACCTGTTGACCATGTTTAGGAAGGCAAAGAATTTAGAGTTTTGATTTTTGTACCAGTTAAGACTTTTACAGTTATAAATGATAGGAAACCTAACCTAACCTCTCTTAAGCAAAAAATGGCTTAAACTAGAAAGTCCAGCTGGGCACAGTGGCTCACATCTGTAATCCCAGCACTTTGGGAGGCCGAGGTGGGTGGATCACCTAAGGTCAGGAGTTCGAGACCAGCCTGGCCAACATGGTGAAAACCTGTCTCTACTAATAATACAAAAAAATTTAGCCGGGCATGGTGGCGCACACCTGTAATCCCAGCTACTCAGGAGACTGAGGTGGAGGTTGCAGTGAGCTGAGATAGCGCCATCCCACTACAGCCTGGGCAACGAACAAAACTCCAAAAAAATATATATATATATATGTAATTAAAAGATCAAGAGTAGTTCTGACTTGAGACACAGCTGCATCAGGATAAATGTCACATAACCAGGATTCTTTCTGATCATAGTGGTCCACCTTCTACTGACTCAGGTGTAGTGTGTAACGAGGTGGCCCTGCCAGTTTTAGCCACCACATCCTCTTAAGCATTAAACCTCTTTCCAGAATTTGCTAGCAAAAGTATTCCCGACATGTCATGTATCCATTCCTAAATCAATCACTCAGCCAGGGAATATAATGTGCTAATTGACTTAGGCCTAGGTCCCACGTTCCACCTTCAGGGTCAGCTTAGGTCAGCTTCACCAGAATCACATGGACTGAGAGTTGGGAACAGAACAGTTCGTCAGAGAGAAATCTAAGGGTGAGATGGCCAGCAGATGAATGACTGAATGAATGAAGCAAAAATAATAGATGTCCATTATAACCATCCATGTATCCACCTGCTACAACTGATAGATTCTTAAGAAAAACCCTGTAACTGCCCTATGGTTGCCACCATCAAGCTAGACGAGGCAGCCATCCCCAAAACTGAAAAGTGGCTGTCCTTTGCAAAATTGCTCTACTAAATTGCATTATATCAGGATTCTCCCGAGAATCTAAGGTGTGGTCTTCCACAACTTGTTTTAACATACATAAACCTGTCTGGTTTGTTGGCTCGCACACAAATGATCACACAGGTATTCGCATAAGCAAAAGTGCTTACACAGCTTCAAAGATTTGGGTACAGAGTTGTGGAAAGATCCACTGGAAAGAATTTGGCAACCAGAGGAGCCTCTGTCTCTTTGACTTGAGGGACACACAATTCAATGAAGTTGGGTGAATTGGGGACAGCCTTCTTATAGGGTAACTATATACTTTATAGTTCAAACTGGGACACTTTTGAGAATAAAAGGAGGTGTTAACCAGATGGGACCTGGGGATAAGAGGCATAAACTGGAACTCTGCCAGGCAAACTGGGGCATACATCTAGGTGTGTGTGTGAACTTAGCCTAACAATGTTGATCTGAACATATTCAACATTAAAGTATGTATTTCATGCTCACAGAATACACATGAATACGTTCACCTCATTTATTCCCTTACAGAGTTCGGGGTCTGGGTATGCCCCAGAGTATCTGTCATGGTTTATTATCAGAATGTGATTATCAGAATGCCATTTTTATAAAAAGATCCTTGTAAGAAATTGCCACCCCCCCTTTTCCAGAATAATTTTGTTGGAGTTGGGGTGTCACTTTATCACCCAGGCTGGAGTACAATGGTACAATCACAGCTTACTAGTCTCATCCTTCCAGGCTCAAGCCATCCTCCCACTTCAACCCTCCAAATACCTAGGACTACAGGCACATGCCACCATGGGGAATAATTGTTCTGTATCTGGATTTACTTTCATCTTAAGGACATTACGAATGGTATATCTGACCAGATTTCTCTGTCTTCACTATTGGAAAGCTTAAATGTGTGGCCCACATGAAGTAGGTGTGTATGTCATGGTGTGCACTTTAAGCCTCATTCCAGACTCCACGTTGTATCCCTCACCCTTGGGTTTCCTTCATGTAACTTTTCATTTACATGACCTTGTACCCTAGCTTTTCTTGTTAGTCACTTTAAGTCCCATAAATAAATGACATATACTCCCCAGCTCAACTGCCTTCAGAGGTGGGGTGGCCAGCCACCTCTTCAGTTAATTCCTTCAAGTTTTATAGAAGAATGTCAACTCTGCATGGATCAATCTCTAATTCAAACAAACCATCAGAGGAAAAGAAAATTAGACAACTGAATTTAAACATTGAATATTTATTTGATACTGTTTTTATTAAAGTTGCTTGGGTGTGATAGTGATAATGTGGTTACGTTTTCTAACAGTTATCTTTTACATATTTATGCTGGAATATTACAGCAAAGTCCGCAATGGCCAAATCTGACAGTAGATAGAGGAATATAATTTTCTCCCAAGAAGGGGTAACAAATATTTTGAACTACATAGGCTGCTAGTCTCACCACCCCCTCCCCTAGGAGTAGAGTCAGTAATCAGCATTTTAAAGGCAAGCACCTAAGAACCCCAAGACTGATGCAGGTGGTCCTCAGATCTCACTTTGAAAAACTCTTCCCTATAAATGATACTTTCTGGACTCAACTCCAGAAAAAACTTGCTTACTCTGAGACTAAGCCATTTTCTTAGGAATCCATGTATCTCTTGCTCTTCTTTGTCTCACTCTGTTGCCCAGGCTGGAGTGCAGTGGCACATTCTCTGGCTTATAGCAACCTCCGCCTTCTGAGTTCAAGTGATTCTCCTTCTTCAGTCTCCCAAGTAGCTGGGACTATAGGCGCCTGCCACCATGCCTGGCTAATTTTTGTATTTTTAGTAGAGAGGGTTTTACCACGTTGGTCAGGCTGGTCTTGAACTCCTGACCTCATGATCCGCCCATCTCAGCCTCCCAAAGTGCTGGGATTACAGGCGTGAGCCACAGTGCCTGGCCTCTTGCTCTTATTTCTAATTGTTGACTGCACTTTCAGAGACTAATGGTTTTGAGTGCTGCTCCACAAAAAAAAAAACACTCTGTGGTCAGGTAAGTTTGTGGTAGGCCATATACCTGCCCTGCTCTGAGAAATTCCCTGTGATCATTACTTCAGAGCTCTGAGTAGTCCTGCATTAAAGAATCTTGTTTAAATTTATTTGGCCCAGTTTCTCACACTAAACACAGAACCTTTCTTATGTAATCCTATTAACAGTTCCATAGAACACTGAGTTAAAATTCCAATCTAAATTAAAATACATTATCACAGGCTGAGTGCAATAGCTCATGCCTGTAATCCCAGCACTTTGAGAGGCTGAGGCAAGAGGATCACTTGAGCCCAGGAGTTTAAGACCAGCCTAGGCACCATAGTGAGACTCCACCTTTACAAAAAAATAGTGAGCTGTGATCACGCCACTGCACTACAGCCTGAGCAATAGAACAAGACTGTTTCAAAAACAAACAAAAAGAATTATCACAGATAAGACTTTGTACTTACGTTAATGAGGCTGTTGTAGTTTTCCATTCACCAATGCAGGAACTGCCGTTTCTCAAGGTACACTGTCTCCTGCCTCCATACTCCATTTAGAGAAATAGTTGCAAAGCAGAGTACTGTACTTAGAATCTAGAAACCTGTGTTTAAATTCCTGTGCCACCATTTACAAGCCATGTCATATTGAATATGCTACTTAATCAGAGCCTCAGTTTCATCTGAAAATTGGAAGTAACAGCTACCTAACCTACAAAGCTCTCTGCTACATTGCTGTGAAGAGCAAAGATAGCACATATGAAGTGACTAAAGTCTATAAAATGATTTCAAGTAATATGTTTACTCGAAGCTTTGCTCAGAGTTGTTTCTAAGCAGACATGGATCAATACCCTTACATTTGCCTTACAGCCACAGATTACAGCACCAACCCAGCAAATAACCTGGCCATCCTAAGGGAGTCCAGCCACACATGTGAGTGTAGGAGCACTCATGATCCAAGTGCATCAGCATTTTATATGGCAGATACCTTCCCCTATTGTAGATCTTTTTTGTTGTAGCCAACTCAGAAGAGGGAGGAAGCCATCATTTAACTCTCTTCCCTTTTGTCTGTCCATGAGAATGAGACAAAAACAGGATTCCACAGCCATACCAACCCTAATTAGCAGGGTGTAGAAACCAGTTACATTGCCTGCCACTGGACCAGGAAACTGGGATAATTGTCAGTGTCCTCTTTTGCTCCTACTCTAGGATATTAGATTGCTAAGTCACTGTCAGTACACCCATCTGATGAAATGAGGCCCATGGGGCTGCCAGGGTTAATACTGGGGATGGATACAGGAACATACGAAGGCCTCCTCTGGTAGACAAGCAGAGTACCAGAGTACCAAGGACCTATGGAAATAGCTCAGGCTGCTTCTTTGAGGAGAGAAAGGCAGAGCATGTGCAAAGGCCCGTTACTTCTGGCCAATTTCCTCACTCATAAAAGTAACATCAATATTCACGATGCTAAGAAAGGTTAAGTGGATATATTTTCCCTTCTATATTTTGGATCATCTACTTCTTCCTCACCCTGACACTACTTTAAAAATCTTCAGATATAGATATCTATATCTATTAGATGCATTTATTTGTGACATACTCCCAGATTTAAAGAGAGAGTACCAGAGGTGGGGGGGAGTACAAAAAGCACAAGTTTATATTTATTTAATGCTAAGAACACAGATATTCTAAAGAGATAAACAGAAAGTAGGTTTGTTTTTCTAAATAGGATTTTGATCACAAAAACGCTGGTGATTCAAACATTTAAAACAGAAGAGCATACAACCTAAGAAAAATGCAAAACATATTTCATCTCTCACCTGAATTAGAACACCTAAGCATTCTCCTTATGAGGCATTAATACAGTCACGTGTTGCCCAACAATGGAGATACATTCTGTGAAATTTGTTTGGCAATTTTGTCCTTGTGCAAACAGCACAGAGGGTACTTACAGAACCCGAGAGGTATAACTTACTACATGCCTGGACTATATGGTATAGCGTGTTGCTCCGGGGCTACAAACCTGTATATCATGTTATTGCACTGAATACTGTAGGCAACTGTAACATAATGGTATTTGTATCTAAACATAGAAAAGGTATAGTAAAAATATGGCACTATAATCTCATGGGACTGCCATCATGTACATGGTCTGTCATTGACCAAAACATCATTACGTAGTGCATGAATGTACTAAAATTGTGCAAAAAAAAAAGACCTGTATCCATAGTGTTTAAACCATAAAACCAGTAACTGGTATATACATGACAAAAACAAAGCATGTAAAATAATATACAGCCTATAGAATTCAAAGACAGCTTAAGGAGCAAATGCTATGTAGAAAAAAAAAAAGAATTCAAAGACAGCAAGGGTAACAAAGCCAGGTAAAAGAAAGGCAATTAGGGACATGAGATATTTTTCAAAGCAGGAAGCTGATGATGTCCACTGCGAGACTGGAGGAAACCAGGAGTCTGAACACGGAGCAGTTACTGATAGGAAGGATAAAGTGCTACATCTCTAACAGCAAGCATATTAACTCTGCTGAAATTGCCAGAATGAAAGCCAAGGTGGTTTTCCGTCAAGAATGTTCTCCTTGAGAGCACAGCCAGCATGCGGTTGAGCCGGGACCTGATACCAGCAAAGTGGAATTGCCGCTCTTTGTTCAAGTTTCTAAATGAGTCACTCAAGTACAATTCCAGGTGGGGGGTGCCCAGGTACTTGGGATAGACAGAATTGTGGAAGTCAGTGGCTCTGACAGAAGTGGGAGAGCCAGTGGAGCTTGCCACAGAGCCTTGGGAAGACACAGAGGAGGAAGACTTCAAACTGGAAGATCTTGATATAGACATTTTTGAGGCTGGTGACCCTTCTGCAGATTGAGTTCCTTGAGAAAAGAGAATGTTCTCATCCAAGTCAGTCTGAGTGGTGGCTGACGTGGACCTAATCATGGTTTGAGAGCATGCTACCCTGGTGGCGACTGCGGTCTGGGTCCCAGCACAGGCGGTGGCGATGCTGGTTTGTGTTCCCACCTCACTCACACTCAGCCCTGGCAACCCCTCTCCTGGCTCTGTTTGAGTGGCAGCATCAGTGGCCTTTCTGCTCTGGAGCTCATCCCTGTGGCTGTTGGAGTAGTCTTCCTCACTAACAGTGGAGGACTCACAGTCATGGGGCTTGGGCTCTGCCTTGCCCTCTGCAGGCATCTCTGTGTCCAAGTCCGTCTTCCTGGGAGTACTTGAGAGCCTAGCCAGCCGCATCCGCAGCAGGTTGCCCAAGGTGAGCTCCTTGGACTGTGGTTTTCGGTCAGTGAGGTGACCAAATTTGTTGCTGCTCTGGAAGTGAGACAGGAGTTTGGGGCTGATAGGCTTGGATTGTGCATACAGGATTCGGAACTCCAGATCAAAGTGTTCAACCACTTGGCCAGACAGAATTACCAAGTTACTGCTATTTAATTTGCCATCCGTCCATGTAAAGCTTAAGGATTAAAAAGAAACAAACAGCAGCTGGTAAAGATGAGCAATTTTTGTTTACTCATTGTCCACCTGAGCAACATAGCACAGGTATCTTATCACATAGGAGTTACGACTGGTGATATACCTACCATTTGCATGCATTTGACTAATCTTAACAAACATATAAAACACATATATAACATTTATGTATGTTAGCATAAAAGTAAAAAGGCCAACTGTTTAACAAACACACTAAATGCTCAGCCTCAGGTTTTTTTTTTTTTTTGAGACGGGATCTTCTATGTTGCTCAGGCTGGTCTTGAACTCCTAGGCTCAAGCAATCCTCCCACCTCAGCCTTCCAAAGGGCTAGGATGACAGGCATGAGCCACCTCACCTGGTCCTTGCCTCAGAGTTTTTAAAAACTAGAAAGGAGGGCGGTCACAGTGGCTCACGAATATAATCCCAGCACTTTGGGAGGCTGAGGCAGGCAGGTCCCTTAAAGACCAGCTTGGCCAACAAGGTGAAACCCCATCTCTACTAAAAACACACAAAAAATTAGCCAGGCGTGGTGGTGCATGCCTGTAATTCTAGCTACTCGGGAGGCTGAGGTGGGAGGATTGGTTGAACCTGGGAGGCAGAGGTTGCAGTGAGCTGAGATTGCGCCACTGCACACTCCAGCCTGGGTCACAGAGCGAGACCCTGTCTCAAAAAATAAATAAATAAAATAAAAATTAAAACTAGAAAGGGCTTCTAAGTATTTAGGCCAGTACCCCCATTTTAAAGGTAAGGAAACCAGCTAGGGATTATCACAGTGGGAAGCTACTGCTAGGCCCCAATCAGGCCCCAGGCCCTATGAACTGCTAGTGCCCTGCTCCTTGCTACTGTTTGAATGGCAACATTAGTGGCCTTCCTGCCCTCAAGCTCGTCCTTGTGACTGTTGATGTAGTCACCCTCACTAACAGTGGAGGACTCACAGTCATGGGGCAATGCTGCCATTTTCACAAAACACCATGGCTCCAAACATGTTAGAGCTGATTAGTGGCCGTGTGCCCTTGCCTGTCCAGTACCCTTCCCCATCTCCCTCCTCTGCTGGCAGAACTCACACCCACCTGTATGCTGGAAAGCTTTCATTACTGTACTCTCTCCAGCCACAATAGGGGCAGGTATATGGTCCAGACTGGCCAGACTATCCTATTGCCTTGGATGTAGAGATTCATTCAGGGTGGGCATGTAACCCCACCAGAGCCAAGTAATTTTTCAGAGATTTCTTTTTTCTTTGTCATATGGATTCTGACAGAAGGGATTGATAGCAATTTTGAGTGAACAAGTTTCACCCTTTGGGAGACAGCTACTAAAGGCCACGTAAGAAAGCCAAAATCTTTGACTTCAAAAGAAGAGCCTCTCTAAGAACAAAAATCAGCTTGAGAAAATCAGAACCAGGAGATAGCGTTCTGATCAGTGTGTGGCTCCTAGGTCAAGATGAACTGAAACCAACTTTACCTTTCTATGCTTCCTTCCAAGTTCTTCAAGTCAGTACATTTGAGAGTTAGCTTTCTGACACTTGCCATCACCTCACTAATGCTGATATTTGCACCAGAAGTAGGTTTCAAAAAGAGATTATAAAACACAGTCAACTCTGACTCCCGTAACCAAGAATCTGGCTATTGCAAAGTCCCCCTGGAAACTGCTTTCAACACCTGAGAATGAAAATGCTTTTGAAAGCCTTCAATGAGCCCGGGCGTGGTGGCTCACACCTGTAACCCCAGCACTTTGGGAAGCCAAGGCCAGCAGATCACCTGAAGTCAGGAATTTGAGACCTTCCTGGTCAACATGGCAAAACACCATCTCTACTAAAAATAGAAAAATTAGCCAGTCGTGGTGGCATGCCTGTAGTCCTAGCTACTCAGGAGGCTGAGGCACAAGAATCGCTTGAACCTGGGAGGTGGAGGTTACTTTGAGCTAAGATGGTGCCTCTGCACTCCAGCCTGAGCAACAGAGCAAGACTCCGTCTCACACAAACAAAAAAAGAAAACCTTCAATGAGATAATGTAAATAATGCACCTGTCCAACACTATTATAAAATGTCAACAAATGAAAGCTATCATTATCATCAATTTCATTTGGAGAGGGTAGTTTTTATATTTTAGAACAGCCCAAAACTATTTGTAGCTAAGTTTTGTTAATATAGAGAAATCCTACTTACGTTAAAAAAATCAAATTTTTTCCTTTTTTTAAAAAATAAACTTCTTACAAAAGGAAATTCCAAGAAAAAGAGTTCAAATTTCTTTTCCCTCACAGCCTCTTTGGTGAAGAAAGTTCAAATTTTGTTCTGAGAATGAGGATATTGTTTGAAAAGAAAGGTGTCAAGATTTTCTTGATCTTAATGCCGCACCTTCCACAAGCCTTCACATTTCTACCTTTACCCAGGGCTGACATATAATTATCACTCGGGGTTGTGTGTCTCTTCAAAACTGAGGTTTTCTTTTTAAAATTCTACAGACACCCCTCATGCAAACCATTTGACAATTTACTGCAGAGGTGGCAAAACATAAACCATTGGAGCCACATACATAAAAATGGCACAAATTCTAGAGGTTAACGTAAACCACTCATTAACCCCACCCTCTCTTCAACCTCCCTGCTCTCTACCTTAAGATGCCATTGCTAACATGAGACTTTAAAGGTGGGTCAAAAACATAATCAGTATTTTCCAGACTAAAGCACTAAATTACAAGGTTTGAAGCAACGTAGAGGATTTGAGTCTAAAGCTGACAGCTCTGGCTCTGCCTTCAACACTAATGGAGATGCCTGCAACTGCTCCTACCTTCGAGTGAGCAGGGCAAGCTGGGTCCAGATCCCTATGGAACCAGGATTCAGACTGAGTGCTGCTGTTACCCCCCAATTCGTCCACTGCAGACCTGGGCCAAGGCTTGAAATCTAGGACTTGCTGACTGTGTTGTCTCAAGATAAGTTCAACTTCTGTTCTTTAACCTTATGGACTATAGGACAAGGGAAGTGACCCCCACCCAAACTGCCACTGATAGGAGGCTTTGATAACCAGCTCATACACACAGATGCACACGTATCAGAATGCGTGGCCATACAGGCTCTCACTGAGAGGAAAAGGCTTTTACCTTTTACATGACATTCTTCTTCTTCATACAAGATTAATAAGCCTTGTATGAGTTAGAAACTTACCTGTAGGAGCCTGTTGCCACACGGATGCCATCAATCAATGTGAACTTTTCATGAACCTTCCCAATAATTTTAGTTCCTGACCTTGCATAGTAGATATTTCCTGTGATAGTCCGAACTGTCATAAGCTGTTGGCCGAGGAGTGGGAGAAAAATAAATGAACAATTCAGCAGTACTCATCTGGTGAGCTAATGATTAGGACAAAAAGGCTTAGTTTACAATTCCCAGACAAAACTATTGGCAGATGTGTGGCTTAGGGTTACCATTTAGTGACAATACAGGTGGTACACTAGCCAGACAGTTCTCAAGCCTCAAGTGATTTTGCTTCTACATTTGGTCCAACTTCTCATCTGCTCTTTTCTTATATTTACTTTTGAGACCCTCGGTTCATGTGTATGCGTGCTCTAAAAGAACACTCAACCTTTTTGGGATACTAAACAACAGAATCCAAGAAATTATTCTGAAGCAAACTGTGTGGGATCAAACCATCAAAGAAAACACACCAGTAATAAAGAACATTTTAGCAAAGTCTGAAAGAAGCTAAGCTGATCTTTCTCCTACTTGTTTGTTTAATGGCATCACATCAGAGTAACAGCCCATCCTCACTCACTGTCAACACCATAATAGGTATGGAGAATAAGAACATAGGATTGGCCTTCTCCAGTACAGGCCTGCTGAAGCAGAAACACTCCTATCACATGTGGCTTAATGAGCAATGTCACATCTCCTACAAATACACAATTACCAAAAAGGTACACTGCTGGTGGTATGCTGGGGCAATATACTGCACATGTATGCATAATTATTCCTGTAAAACGACACACATAAATATATAAACAATGGCATGCAAAGCATAACAACAATCTGCATTCTCTGGAGCAGACCAGTGGCTCTATATTGTTAGAAACCTTAACACATTTAAATTATATGTTTAAGATTCGTGTTTGACTCATTGATTCCAGAAATATAGAAAGTCCCTACTTTGTGCCAAGCCCTGAGACAACAGAGATGTAAGGCATGCTCCTTACCTTCAAGGACTAGAATAAGAGAGAGAAAACTAATTGAATCATTTAGAAAGTACAGTAACACATAACAGCATCCAGAGAAATGAAAATCTATATCCACACAAATACCCCTACACATGTTCACAGCAACTTTATTTATAATAGACAAAAACTGGAAACTACCCAAATGTCCTTCAGTGGCTGAATGGTATAAGATACCATACAATATTTAGCAATGAAAAGGAACAAACTGATGATAAATGCACAACTTGGATGAATTTCAAAAGCACTGTGATTGGGAGGAAAAAAAAGCCAATCTTGAAAGGTCATATACTGTATAATTCCATTTATATAATAGACTATAAATGACAAAATTATAGAAATAGAGAAAAAATTAGTGGTTGCTAGGGGTTAAAGATGGTGGGAGGAGGCACAGAAAAGGGAGTAATTGGAATATAGAGGAGCGGAAGGAGAGACATCTTTGTGGTGATGGAAAGTTCTGTCTGGGTGTGCATGTGTGAGAAGATGGCACAAAACTGTATCCACACATTGTACCAATGTCAATTTCCATGTTTTGACATTGTACCATAAGTTACATAAGATGTAACATTTGGGGAAACTGGGTGAAGGGTACATGAAACTTCTCTGTACAATCTTTGCAACTTCTATTAATCTATCAATATTCAAAATAAGTTAAAAATAAAACACAAAACAAAACTATGGCAAAACATAATACCACTTCTGTGGTCTTATCAAATGTGTAATCTCAATTTAACCTTGAGAAAACATCAGGCAAATTCTACAGAAAATTGGCTAGCATTTTTTTTTTTTTTTTGAGGTGGAGTCTCACTCTTGCCCAGGCTGGAGGGCAGTGGTGCAATTTCAGTTCACTGCAACCTCCACGCCTCCCAGGTTCAAGCAATTCTCCTGCCTCAACCTCCTGAGTAGCTGGGACTAAGGCAACTGCCACAACGCCTGATTAATTTTTTTGTATTTTTAGTAGAGACAGGGTTTCACCACGTTAGCCAGGCTGGTCTCGAACTCCTGACATCAGGTGATCTGCCCACCTCAGCCTCCAAAGTGCTGGGATTACAGGTGTGAGCTACTGTGCCCAGCAGGCTACTATTCTTTAAAGGTGTCAACATCGGGCTGGCACAGTGGCTCACACCTGTAATCCCAGCATTTTCAGAGGCCGAGGTCAGCAGATCACGAGGTCAGGAGTTTGAGACCAGCCTAACCAATATGGTAAAACCCCGTCTCTACTAAAAACACAAAAATTAGCCAGGCATGATGGCACACGCCTGTAATCCCAGCTATTCTGGAGGCTGAGGCAGGAGAATCGCTTGAGGCCTGAGGTGGAGGTTGCAGTAAGCCGAGATTGTGCTACTACACTCCAGCCTGGGCAACATGGTGAGATCCCATGTCTA